CAAACCTCACATCCAAACTAAGGGTTCAGTGTTTCTGACGGGAGGGAAGATCAAAGATGTATTCTTATTTTAATCAAAGCCTCTTCTTCCTCTCTGTGCTCCTCAAACACACACTCACACACACTCAGAAGTACTGCTGCTGTTGCTTGGCAACCATTATACCACGAACATATAGCCTAATGAGCAGAAGTGATAAGATGCTGCAACCGTTGCCTCCTGCGATGAAGCCGGCGGAGAATAGCTTTTCTTTTACTGAGGTGTGAATCTGAAAGAAAGAAATGTGTTTGGGCTAAACAGAAAACATTGTATTTCAAAGAGACCCTGTTATGTTGTTTGCAGGGGAGGACATACTGATATACACCTGAACATCAGCAGGAGAGGACTCTTTAAAGTAGAGACACTACATACTGATATACACCTGAACATCAGCAGAAGAGGGCCCCTTGAACATTGGATTTTGCACATTCCTGGATTTTAACCTTGACCAGCAGAACTCATATAAATTAAATGAACCTGTCCTGTTTGACCTGTATCATGTTTGTTGGAGCAGAATGTATTTAATTTGGATTGCTGATTTCTCTCTCAACAAAAAGAGTGACCATGAGGAACTGGATGGTTAAACTCTCACTGTGCTGTTGTGTTGTTCCGCCCTTTTTTGTTTACAGACCAAATAAAGGACTTTGCAGCTGCAACTTAACTGGATGAGCGAGTCTAGAAAGAGATTAAACACTGAGAATAAAAAGTAATCAGAAAGTATTTACATGACACATCATCCACTGAACAGCTTACGGGAGCTTTAACCAATCGGCTGACAGGAGAATGACGTTTCTCTGGTTGAGATGAGACACTTTCTACGCCTTCTTGAACCCTTTTAGACATGTTTTGTGTGTGTTTTGGTATTTGTGTGTCCCCTAAGTTGGATTGACACGCGGCCCTGGGGAAGGACAAGCTGCTAAAATGGCTGGGGATTGGGGGCTCAATCCATGGAACAGTCTCAAACATCTCCCCCTACACACACACACACACACACACACACACACACACACACACACACACACACACACACACACACACACACACACACACACACACACACATGGACGGACGGACCGACGTTGTCTCATTCACTTCTAACAGAAAGTGACAGCCAGCCTCTGAACAGTGCCCCCCCCCCAAACACATATTTCTTCAGTGTGTCTCTCCCTGTATGTGTTGTGGCTCGAGGGATGAAAACACAGCTGGCCCCCTGAAGTCTCGCTCAAACTGTGCGATTGTCTCTAAAAGGCAAAGTCTTTGGTTTTGCTTTTGGTTTCTCTCATAAACATGTGTTTCGTTTCTTTCTTTGAAAACAAAATGTATTGGAAATATTGATATTTTTGTTCCCCGAGGCTCCATTAGTACAGATATTTAATACAACGTCACAACCACTGAAGACAATATGTTGACGACACTTTAACGTACATTTGAGTTGAGATTAAACATCGCATTTCATTTTAGGATTGACTGTAATGTAATACTTTAGCACGCTCCAAAACAAACCATAATCTCAGATGGGAAAAATGAAGAATTGGATTTCCCCCAAAAAACACTTTGGGCAAAATGAATAAAGAATGCATTTTGTTAATTTGCAGATACATCATTACGCATTGTGTCCAAACACTTGTTGTCAGGCTTGCGTATTCATACAGCAAACTTCCCCCAAAAATCAAAACAGTCTTGAACGTTACTGTGGAGGAAATTCTTAATAGAAACTGATAAATGACCCACGGACAAAGTTTGTCTTTTGTTATATTTAATAAAGTGATAAAGAAAGTCAATATACAAGTGAAGTCGATCTGAAGTATAGGAACAGAGCTACTTCATCTTCAGAGGAGAACATGGCTTTGCTCCCAGAACACAGCTTACAGTCCCATTATATAGTTATAAAAGATCCAACTGGTGCCACCCTTAAATTATCTTAGGTGTTATCTAAACAAGTCCTTAACCATTTGCAAATCCACCTTTTGCCCTTCCTGAAATGTAAACATATGTCTCTGTTAAACACATATAGGATTAAAAATACTATTTACACGAGTAAAGGGCAATCAGAGTATAAGACATACATGTATGTTATTTAAATGATTATATTGTAGAGCCGATGAACGGGAGTCAGAGGCAGTGTAATCAGGATGGACTTCCACACGTTATTATCCATTCAACCAGACAAGCTAAGTACATGTACTGCTACTGCATGTCAAGCTAGCAGGAATGACAACAACCCGGTACCCTCACTAACGGGTCCGAGTTGCAACACAATAATCCCAACGGTGAATTATGTTTTATAACGTGTCACCACAATATGAACATTCGACACAACAGTCCAGTTGGTTAGGAATTGATCGACAGCAAACATCTGCGTGTCGAAGTTATTCACAGTTTAATGCTACATGAAAACATCTTGCAAATATACTCACCAATAAAGTTGATGCTTCATCCGTCCAGCAATTGTGTATTTAAGGTGTTTAAACGTTTCCCAGCTAAAGAGAGATGCTGTGGACTTGTTCCCGTTTCTCTTTCCTTCACGCTGGCTGTGCTGACCCACTTTCTCCCCGGGGATCAATACAGAACATTTCATTCTATCTTATCTCAGATCTGAGCGCTGTATTTAAGTGAATCGATGGCGGACTAACTGGCGTCTGATTTGTATCACAAAGTCGAGATGGAGCGATCAGACGAGCGGAGGCTATTTCCTCAAATGACTCAGGAGTTTAAGGTTTGACCGCTGAATGAAAGCTCACCAAAGTTATTTTGAGACTCTTCTGAGAGAGACGATATTCCAGCACAGCGCAGATATCGTGAAAAGCCTCGAACATCTGTTGAAACTCGTCCAATGGACACGTTCCAGAAAACCACAAGGCTACCAACCCTGCCAGACACTTTCTGACTCAGCAGACCATAATAACCTGTCCAACAGCATCACCTGGGACCCAAAGCATGCTCTGAACAGAGAATCTGAGCTGCCACCCTCTAATCAGAGATCAATAAAGTCAGACTGAAGCATCCTTTGTGCTCCAGTCAGTCCTCTCAGTGAACACAGAGCTGAATCCAGATCAGATGCACGCTGAAGGCTCTTTGAGCAGGTTGTCTCTCACTGTTATGTTACATGTTTGTTTTCCATGTATTGTGTCTTGATATTTGTCTGTTGATGTTACACATGGAGCTGCTGTGATGCAACTAACACTTCAGACTTGATCTGACCATTAAAGTATCGTATCGTACCAGGACATCTGGAGCCAGGATTCCTGAATATATCCTTTAAGAAAGACTTTAATTTAGCATTTCAAGAGCTTTTATTTTAGAAGAACTTCAAAGAGTTCCTCCCCTCACCTCGCCACGTTGATCATTTAACATTTCAGTGAGCGTGCTGGGAATCAAACCACTGACCCTCAGGTTGGTAGACATCCATTTACACCAGGCCCGGCTCCAGGATGAAATTACTGAGGGGGCTGTTAAAAAATCAGAGGGGGCGATTTTTTTTTCACAACAACGAAAAATACTGGCAATGTATTGAATTGACACACCAAGCTTTTTTCCTTCTCACTGCTCTACAATCTCTTTGCTTCTTTATTTTGACCCCCTCTCGTTCTGTTCTTTTCATCTGGTCTTTAATAACAGATAGTAGATATTTGATAGATAGATGGCTGCACTTTGTTTAACAGACTAACATTGATTTCCTCAATTTATAAATGGACAGGCTCTGTAATTATACCATAACCTTTTCTCCTCTATCCCTTAACTCCTCTTCCTATACATATTTACTTACCTCTAATCAGGTCAGGATTAAAGAAACATTAATCTGGTTGATTTTTTATTTTCAGGATTGAAGGTTCAGACCAAGGCCTAAAAGCTGGCACTTCATAAGAAAGTGACTAATATATAAACCAAATGTAATATTGGATCAAATGCTACACCAAATGGACGGACACAGATTAAAG